AACCATAAAGATCATAAGAGTGGGGGGGGATTAATCATAGGGTCACACAATTTAATGGGTGGAGGGAGGGTTGGGTAAAAGAAGTGGGAAACATCCAGTGTTAAAACAATGTATTTGAACTTTATAAATAAGACCAGTATAAAATAAAGAAAAAAGAAAAAAAAATGTACGTACCCATCCTGACACAAAAGTTGTCATCAAGGGCCAAATGACAAGGCTTCTCTTTCAGAAATTATTCAGAACTCTGTTCTGTGCATCAAAGTACTCCTTGAAAGAAGTTTGCTTGTTTTTACAACACTTTAACAGCATGGCTCTTTATAATCATTTTAGCCTCTGAGATGTCATGTTGTGTTGTTGTCAAAGAATAAAAACAGCAACTGTGCGAATGGAAAGGGGCAAGGCTCCCATGTGCCTCTTCAGGTATCTAACAGAATCACCATATGAAGCAAATTACAGAGGGCAGAGGGACAAGTTATGGACTACAATCTGGTCCAAGAGATGAGGCTATGTGACAAATCCCAATTTAAGAAATTGTCTTTGAAGGACGTCCTCTCTTTGCCTGATGGTCATAACAGTTCTCAGAATATATTCATTCTGTTAGGAAAATGGAATTTTGTTTCTATTGGAAATTTTCCACTGGATGGAGAAATTCCCCTTCCCCCCCTCCGCTGCATTTTAAGGACTGGAACACACAGGCTCTTTTCTTTGGGTTATTGGTAGCATTAAATGGAAAGTAAATAGAAGCAGAATTTAAACAAATAAACAACCTGACAATAAGTCATAGGACAGTGATTCCCATGAGAAGAAAGACAAATATAGTGAGCCTTATAGATGGCTGGTTTATGACTGGAATAATTTTCAAGGTTGCACAGACGAAAAAGGGAACCCACGTAAAGACTATGTGGTGTCCCTGAACTGAGAAGGCAGAGTTGTGAATTTGGGAAGGCCAAGGAAACTAGGGTTTGCCAAGTACTGAGAAAATAAAGACGTGTTTAGAAGGAACGAACTGGAGTTTTGCAGAGGAGCCTCTTTAAGTCTTCAGCTGAACTTAATTAGCGCATGTTTGTAAAGATACTAACCAAGGACAGAGAGCAAACCGTCAGGAGAAACAATCCATGGGGTCCACACAAGGCCAGGAGCATTTCATGTTCTCACCAGCCAGACGGGAAAACCTTATAGTACACTGGACATTGGGTAGAACACCCAGAGAATTTTGTCCAAGTATTAATTGTGAATCTAAATAATATGAAAATTTTAAACAGGAGTTTGGAAACTTGCTTTATTCTGTTCAGGTTCTTAGTGAGTCTTCCTCCAATCCTGTTCTCAATGTAGTCTTGCTTCTCAGATTATTTGTTCAGCATACAGATTGAATAAATATGGTGACAAGGTGCAACCTGGATGCACATCTTTCTTGGTTAAAATCAGGTTTAAAAATCATGCTCCCCTTGTTCTGTTTAAACAACTGCTTTTTGATCATTGTACATGTTCCTGATGAGTACAATTAAAGAGCAAAGATTTTGCCTTGAGGACTAAGGTGCAGTTAACCCAAGCCAAGGCATTTTCAATTGTCTCATATACATATGA